CTGCTCCTACTGCGACTGCGACTGCGACTGCGACGACAACAACCAGGACTGCTATTCCTGCTATCATTACTATGACCACCACGCGCATTGATGATTATATTAACACCCGGCAACACAGCCGTGAAAATTCCAACGAGAAGTAGACGGTCGAACGCACACAAGACCCACCAAATGCAATGAGAGTACTCATAAGATTGATCATAATAAGAAGAATAACAATATCAATAGAGTATACACTATGCGCCTAAGTTATGGTGCTTCTTGCTGTCATCGCAGGTCCTGAAGTCCGCTGCTGAGCGAGGTGGACGGGCCCGACGCAGGGATCGCCAATTGCTGGAAGTCGAAAACATTTTAAACTCTCCGGCTTTCTGCCAAAGGGTCTGCCGGCTTTAGGGTTTAGGGTTTGAGTCCCTGCAAACCAGATGCAAAAAAGGGGCTTTAAAACTTGTGTTTCGAAACTTAGGGCTTAGGCTGGAGTGTAAGAAGCCAGGCCAGGAATATGTCCAAATTAGGAGAGTCCGAGCGCAGAGGGAGAAGGCCGCGGCAGGCTCCAAAGTGAGTCGGACATTTCGACAGCGCGGATGCAAAATTTGCGTCTCCCCTTTCGGCAACCCGCGAGAAACAGATGCCGTGATGTGATATAATATATATATATATATATAACATGTAGTGTGTATAGTGTCTGTTGTACTGTAGCATTGTCCTTGCAATCTGTGATGATTGATTGATTGCTGTATAATGTAGGGGCCTAGATAATTACCAATACTATTATGGGGGTTCCTTTTTATAGTTATAGTATAATGGGCCCAAAGCCGTATTCGAACCCCTATATTACTTCAACCCCCACTGGTCTTTGCGGGTTTTCTCCCTCAACTTGGCGACTCGGATGTGGCTTGCGGCTTATGATCAAGCTGAGCACATCGACAAAAAGGTGTTGCAGAAATACACGTGCGTATACATAGGTCATATGCGTAATAGATCAGTTTATGTACGCACATGAGTTCATGTGAATATAATGTGTGTGTGTGTGTATGTAAGTATGTATGTATGTATGCATGCATGTGCGAATGCATGTGTAGATATATACATACATGTCTTCATATGTTTGTAAATAAGTTCTCGAAGTTCTCTCTCTACACACACATATATATATATATATGTATGTATGTATGTATGTATGTATGTATGTGTGCATGTGTATTTTAAGATGTACGCATGATATACAATGAGTTGCATTTCACAGCAAGAGTTCATGACGAGACTTGGGCACTGGACGACATAGTCCCAGGTTCGTTGTTGAAAGTATACTAAAGCCCACCGGGCAACATCGCAATGCCCTGCTGAGTGCACCGACTCAGCCGATCGTGCCCAAAGCCATGTCTGACTCCTCTTCTTCAGACTCGAGTTCCTCGTCTGAAGAGAAGAAGAAGAAAAAGAAGGACAAGAAGAAAAAGGACAAAAAGAAAGACAAGAAGAAGAAGAAGGACCTGCTGACCAAGTGGACTGAATTCTGGCTTTCATTCATGTCGCGCCAGCAGGAGAAGGACAAAAAGAAGAAAAAGGATAAGAAGGACCCCTACTCCAAGACTGCCCAAGAGAAGGCCCGCTTGGAAGCACAACAGCGGCTCATGGGAATTGACACCAACAAGAAGGCCAAGAAGAAGAAAAAAAAGCTCCTTGACGCGATTTCGATCCCCAAGCCTGCAGCACAAGCCAGCAGGGTCAAGTACGTTTGACCTCTTTAGCCTCCTCTGGCGTCCCCATCCTGGCGTAAATTTAACATTGGCCTGGCTTTGAATGTAGATCAATGCCCATGCTCATTGTATCCGTGACCCGCTAAAGCCTGTCTGCTGAGTTAGAAGATGTTGTTTCTCTGTTTCTCTCGTTCTGTCGTTTCAATAATCTCTCCTCTCCTGGGTCCGAGACTCTCACCTGTGAGGAAATCCTCCTCCTCGGAGTCCAGCGGCTCTGAGTCGGAGAAGGTGCGGAAGATGCAGGACGGTTTAAGGTCTGGGGTTTCGAGTTTGGGGCGCTTCGGGGAACGGAAAAGCATTAAGAAGTACGGCAGGCAAAGAAGAAGCATGGCTATCGTTGCATCGTGTGGCTTGCGATGCGGGAGCCAAAAATAGCTGTCATTGCTTGTTTTGTGCACCACCAACACAACAACATACTACTCTAGCACGCCTCGAATTCGACTCCTTCCTCTCTTCCTGAACTTGTCATGGCCCTCGCTACGACTGTTTCCCCGACCACCGCCATGTGGTCTCGAGCCAGGACCTACTGGATGACCAGACAATGAAGCGAGAAGAGGAGTTAGCTGAGGAGGCCGAGAAGGCTACAGAGCCGGTTCCCGAGAAGTCCTGGGAGGACTAGTCTCTGAAGATTGCAAAAACTGAGGGGCTTGCTACCCCACGCCACAAGCCTACCGAAACCGCTTCGGGCATAGCTGCTTCCCTGCTGACCGGACTATTCTTCTGAGTCTGGTTCTGAGTCGGTTCGAGCTTAACGCATCGAAATGATTAAGCAACACACAACAATACGCCCTGCAGTCCCCTGTCTAACCATAATGCAATACAAGAAGCCCCAATATTCCACCCTACAAAAGCCGGAAGCAGCCCTTGCAAAACCCTTGAAGAAACCTTGTTCTAACTCGACTGTAACGGCTCCTGCATGAAACTCCGTGTGCGAGTCGAAACCCTAAACCGATGAACCTCGCCTGGCATGTCCGCGTTGTGAGAGCCTAAACCGATCAAGCCGTGAAGGAGATGACCTGGTCCGAGCGCGCGGCTGATGCAGCGCAGAAAGCCGAGGCTCAGGCCGTGTGGAAAGGCGCGCCCTCCCTGGGTTCAAGATGTAAATGTACATATATGTACATTCATAAGTATACATACACATATGTATATAGATATATATATATGTATATGTATATGTATTTTATGTATGTATATATATATATGTATATGTATATGTATATGTATATGTATATGTATATGTATATGTATTTTAATATGTATATGTATCTGTATATGTTCTAGAGTTTTAGGATTGATTGAGTTTAGGGGCTTATGATTGGGGCTGATGTGGTGGAACCAGACCGATTTATTGCGTACAGGTCTTACTTCAGACGGCTTCTAAGGGTGCGAGAAAGATCCAGCAGTCCCTTGTCGAAAGGTAGAGCTCGCACTGTTAAGTGTCTACTTTGGGACCCGGGGTATTCCTAGATTTTGCAAGAGCAGTTCAGGACCTGGCTTCCCAGATGCCCGAACTCTGATTATCAATCTAACTCACCAGCGCCTTTGCATGAGTATGTCCATGAGAATATCGATGGTGAAGGTGGTGGTCATTGTCATGTGCTCAGGTTGTGCGGCTGTGCATTTGTCCTTTACATGCACACAAAAAACTACCCGAAGCGTCTCTCACAGCTACTAGAGCGGCCACGGCACGATAAATCTGGCGGGTCTATGTTTACATGTCGGAGCTACATGAACTGTCAGATGTTTGAAAGGTGTGGAAAGGTTCACCGATAAAGAGAGGTGCATGTGCGCTTACAGCAAAGATCGGATGGACACCACATGGGAAATGCAGGTCGCGCATGGCTCTAGAGCATGTTTTGGTGCATAAACACCGTGTGCAGGCGTGAGCAAACATATGTGGGCACACACAGAAGACTGCAGGGGCGTTAATAGGCACTACTTGCAATCGGGCTCTGGGGTGTAACTACGTGTGTATGTATATATGTACACATGTGTGCAGATATTATTTGTATGTGCATATATATATACATACATATATATATACACATGTATTAGGGTTTGTTGTGCTTGTTATCGGAGCATGTTAGTCGCCGTTGCACCAGGTGCCTCCAGAGCAGATGCACGCCGAGCCGCAGCCAGGGCCAGTGAGGAAGTGCTCCTCCACGCGGTCGATGATGGCTTCGTTCAGACAGTACCACAGCCGCGTACTCAGAGAGTGAAAATGAGGGAAGAAAGGAAGCTGAAGGTGTCTTGGGTATAGTACGAATCATTCAAGAATCATAAGAGGGTTCGGGCGAGTGGAAACTCATGTGGCTCGTCGCACATGGTCTTGAACTGTCAGCCCATGAGACACTGGCGTCTGTCTTCTTTCGGCACAAACCTTGCTTCCGAGGCGGGCAAAGTTCAATGCTGCCACTGGGACGCTCTCCCGCGGATAATGTGGCAGGCGCCCATATGTCCAGAGCGTGAGGTTTCTGGCAGGTACCTGAGCAGCCCCAAAACGTGGCCATTGAAGACTCTTGCGCAGACTGCCGTGAAGACATTAATGAGTGCACCTGGCTTTGGTGCAGCCGCTGCACTTGGGGCGACTCTGAAGACTCCGGTCATCGTTTCCGGAAGAGGAGCCAGGCGGGCTGTGCAAAAGTCGAAGCTGCCGGCCCACTGACTCAGAACCCTGTGCAGCAGCTCAAGACAGCATGAGGTCGCATGTGTGCATGTGTGTGGAGGCTGTCCTTGCTGCCAGTCATTTGGTTCAAAGTCCACAACGCTAGGTTGCAGAGGTCACGTACCTTATACAGCCTAAATTCGCTCGCTATGGCCGAGGCGGGCCAATCACGCTCTTCCTCTTAGGATTTGCCTTGGTCCAGTATTGTAGCCAGCGCGTAAGGAGGCTGGAGAGCAAGACGGCCGTAGGCGATCCGTTTCTGAATCACAAACCGATAGGCCGATGGGTGATCGACTGATGCGTGATAAAATCAGCAGCACCAGCCGGGTGATATCAAACAGGAGCAAGAGCTGTGGTGGAGTAGCACCCGGAGGGTTTGAGTAGGTCAGAAATTCTGGCAGCCGTTGGCAGCCGAAACAGCTCATTGCCCTACAGTCATGGCCCTAAAAACCCTTAAGTCTCGAACCACAAGCCTCGCCTGGAGTGTCCGAGTGTGAACGCCGAAACCCCTAAACCGCCTAAACCTGGCTCGTCCTTGCTAGGTAGCAGGGAAAACCCCCTAAACCCTAAACCGCGAAGTCGGCACTACGAACCTCGTCTGGCTGGTCCGAGTTGTGAGAGCATTTATACCGTCGCGGTAGCGGGAGGCTAACTGCTCTCATTCCGACTGCGCTTGAGACCTCTCCTGGATTAGTTGTCAGACCTAAACTAAACCCTACGTATGGATCCTCGCCTGGCTAGTCCGAGTTGTGAGAGCGTAAACCAAAAAAAAAGTAGTGGAATGCAATGTACAACCCGTAGAATTGAAGAGGTATCCCGATTCAGACCGGCTTCTGCGATGCGAACATCCATCAAATTCACTGTAGTTCGCAAGTTCCCATAAGAGTAACAGTACTAATAAGTATATTATTCTTCTTATTGTTATTATTGATGATTACTAGTAGTAATCATTGTTAATTTTTAACAATACTCACAATAACAAAGGTATTAATTGACTATGATCCGACCCAATCTTCGAGCTCCGAGAAGCGTCGAGCCATTCCCGATGCCAGGCCTTCAAAGCCCGCTTTGACGCAGCTTCTTGGCCTCACTTCGATACACCCTAACACCGAAAGCATGCAGCTTACGAGTGTCAGGAACCGGGGCAATTTTTTGGACATTCCGGTTTAGGGTTTAGGGGTTTAGGGCTACTCTGGAGCTTGGCTGAAGGGATTCAGGGCTTAGTGCATTGCAGTCCCTGCTCAAAAAGGGCTACTCCGAGGCTTTAGAGGAGCTCAACTTCGGCCAGCGCTGCCACAAGTTGGCTCAGCTCGGAAAGGACCGCTTGGGGTTCAGGGTTTAGGGGGCGTAATACATTTTAATTGGGTTGTGGGACATATGGTTACAGAGTTACATTCTGGGGTACAGTGGGAAGCTATGGTTATCTGTTCTCTCGCCTGTAGTCCTGTAGTCTCCGGTGCCACACCTACATCGAGCCGTGTCTTGCGGTGCAGAGATTTGCATGTGATACCTGACTTCCACTTGGCACTGGCGGCAGTTCCAAGTGCTGCCGGCATGTTCAAGGACATCAAAGCTGCGCAGCCTGCAAACATCCAGGACTGGCAGTGGTTCGTGGTTGTCATGGCTCACACTTCCCCTCTACTCTACGGCCTGATATGCTTTTGCTTTATGTTTGCGTTCCCTGAACTTCACAAACCCCAACCTTAGCGGATGGGCTTGGGTTGAAGTGAGCATCTGGCAGTTCCTTTCAGAGACATCTTCTCCACAGTCCGAAAAGGCCTCAAGTTACGTTTAGATGCAAAAATCATGGCTCATGTGGAAGACCACTCCAGCACGCGCTTGTCATCCCCTCGGGTATATGCTGGTTGCAGTACTGGGTCGTGCAGGCCATTCTCGACAGCCTCTTGCCTGAGCGTGCCGCCCATGAGACAGGTCCTTCCGAGGCGCGAAGAAGATGAAGGATGTTTCAGGGCCGGGAGTCTAGGGGTAAACATTGAAGAAGGAAAGGTATGTGCAGCGAAGCCATCGGTACTATCGCATGCCAAGGACAGATCTTGGGAGCTGCTGACCCCACGCTTCACTGAAAGACTCATCGTGCGAATTTTGCATTTTCGAAAAGGTGCAAACTGCGCAGTCATACCTACCCTTATATAGTGTCGCACTAGCTGCTAGACAGGCCAACTCCTAGATGGGGGACTTCCGGCAAATGAGCACTGAAGACACTGCGGTGAAGGCCTAAAAGCAGCTTCAGACTACGGGAGTGGAAATCAAATAGTAAGAGAACAGTAGCCAAGCGTCTTGCAGTCAAAGGGCGACAGCAGCAGAGGAAGCAACAACAACACCACCAACTTGAAGACCTAGAAATGTCAGTTGGAAAGCGACCTCCATTCAGGACGGATCTTGCATAGACTTCCTCCCTTGACCAGGCATTTGCAGAGAAGGCTCGGCTGATCGTCGCGAAAACGGCCGGCTGCGCAGGACCGTTATAATAATCATAAGAAGAAGAAGAGGACCAACAAAAACTAAGAAGAAGAAGAAGAATACGAATGCTAGTCTTAGCAATATTAATATTGACCCTGCATCCTAGATCCTTCCGCAGAGCTTCCTAGCATGAATGAAAGTATATATGAGTGCGTGTCGACATGTACCTTTGTCAGTTCGTATGCGCACGTGCATATCAAAATCAGTATGTGTGTCTACGTATGTATATGTATATGTATATG